ATCATTCCCCAAGATGTCGATTCCCAGGGGAGAGTGGAGGTCGGACGATGGGTAGATATAATTACCCTTCGAAGAATAGTTGAGCAGGCGGTACAGCCATGCGCGGCAGCAACGGTAGCAGGGCCTTGAGACACAAGGCGCCGGTTCGAGGATGGCGTTGATGTCACTGCGCTAATCTCGGTGACCCAATGGCTTGAGAACAGGAACACAACAGCCCGCCCTCGCCACACCGCGTCGCACGCTTGAGAAACAGAAACACAACAGCCCGCGCTCGTTACCTCGTCGCAAGACGCCCGCTTGCGTGGCACCGGCTGCGCTGTGGCGTGGAATCGCGGCTGTAAACAGTGCGGCCTCCCCGGACGCTCCCATCCGCTCCGCGCCGCGTGCCCCAAGATGGGTAAAGGTAAAAGTCTTTACCGCTCGCACGACGGCGGGTTCTCACACCTCCAGCCCTGCAGCGGCTCCATCAGCGTCGCGTCCCGGCGGGAGGCGGCATAGCGGGCGGCACCCTCGCTCTCGAGTCTTCAACTGGAGCCTCCTCTCCCGCCGTGCCAAATCAATTTCCTTAATTTGTCACTCGTTCCGCTTCCCCGTTTAACCTTGGGTTTAACCTTTACCCGCAGTTGCTTGCCAGTTTATAACTTAAAACGCCTCCTCTCTGTCGCAGACTTCCTCCCGCTTCCCCGTTTACCCGCAGTTGCCTGCCAGTTTATAACTTAAAACGCCTCCTCTCTGTCGCGAACTTTCCTCCCGCTTCCCCGTTTACCCGCAGGTGCTTGCCAGCTTAAAACGCCTCCTCTCCGTCGCAGACTTCCTCCCGCTTCCCATCACCTCCTTTTGCCTAATCCCCACGAATAAATATTCCCCTCCTCTCTCCAGCCTCTGCAGTAAAGTTCAGTAAAGGAGTGTACGTACGGAGTCCCCCGATTCACACTTGTATTTGTGTCAATTCTAGTCTACACTACACCACTTTTTTTGTGTCTGCATGCCTTCCCATCCCTTCTCCTGCGTTGTATCTAACCTATCAACTATCAATCTTCTTACAGTCGCCCTGACATCACCTTGTTCCTCCCCCAAGGGTTGACACATTCGTTAACACCAAAAACCCCATCAACCCCCACCCATGAACACTGATTAATGTAAAGGAGTCCAACTTTTTACCCCTCCTCAACCACCAACGCCCTTCTGACAACAGCCTCGCGTTATGCACGGTAGAGCACCTCTTGGTTTTGCAGTCTTGATGCATTCCCATGGCATATATATATTCCGTGATTCTTGTTCCTTCTTGTTCCAGGCCTCAGTAATCCACGTGTCGACAAAAGAGTCGTACAGCACAGGAAAAGGTATTCATACTACCTTGTTGCTGCCTTGTTACCACATCCGCATTGGCGTATTCGGAACGCCGCATCTGGAAAGCCCGTCCTGTTCTTCCTGTACAGTAATCCTAACACTTGGAAACAAGCACCGTACGGTACATACACCGCGGTACATAACCAAAATCCTTCCCCACAACCATTTCTCTCTCACAACTTGAGTACACGCGACGAAATCTGGCGCACCAATAGATGACCCCTGTTTCTTCGGCTTTCCATTGCAACTTGGTGCCAACTTGCTGTTAACGCCAACTCGTTAACGCATACGCACGCAACTGACGAATCAGACATCCACGCTGTGAGAGTCTCGAAACTCTTTGCAATAGCAAACCCACGCCACTGCCAAGTTTTACAATCTCAAACCACCGCTGATTACGCACAGGTCAACAACCTTCAACACACCATTGCGAGCTAACTTTAATTACTGTTGCTGCCACTGCAGACGCCTGTAATGAAGCTCCTCGTTGCACCTACCGTCTGCTCAACACCGTAGTCGCCACCAACTAGCCGCTGTTGGCGTGCTTGGTCCGTCACAGATGGGCCCGCCCATCTGACCATCATGCAGTAAGGACAGCAAATGCCGTCTCGCGACACTTTCCAACCTAAACACTGCTTCACTACTTGAACTTCTTTGCGCATGGCATTTTCATTCTCACACACACAACTACCAACATCTCGACCCTCTTCTTCTCTTTTTCTTTACTGTATTTTGATTTCTTCTTTCGTCCATTGCATTCGTCAGTCGCTTTTTTTTCTCCCCACTGTCAACATAACTCTTGTGTCTATCCGACCGGCGCTTGTCCTCACACTATTTCCTCATGAGGTGTCCTCATATTATGAGGACACCTCTCTTTTTGTCCCCACACTCAGTCAGTCGCTTTTTTCTCTCCCCACTGTCAACATAACTCTTGTGTCTATCCGACCGGCGCTTGTCCTCACACTATTTCCTCATGAGGTGTCCTCATATTATGAGGACACCTCTCTTTTTGTCCCCACACTATTTCCTAAACCAACTTGTTTTCGGCAATAGCATCTCGCAGAACGCTGGGATAGCACCTTTGAATACGCAAAAAGATACTTACAGTACCTTTTCTGAACTGGAGTTATTGGTTTACAAGTTATTTTACATGCCGTTTTAACTTGGTTTAAAAACCCTTCTGTCGCAGCCCTATCCAAAAACGACCAAGAACAACATGCAATCCTCACAAACATCTTTCTGGTCCCGAGGCAGAAGTCAAGTACGGTGGCGGGAGTTTCTTTTTTTCATTTTTGTCTAGAAAGCGCAAGTCAAGCAAAAAGAATATGTCAAAAAGTGTCCTCATATGAGAACAATGGTCCGATAGGCCCTAGAGACATGTCACTGTGCATGAGCCGTGCCGTTCGACAGCAACCTTCCCCAATTTTCATTCTCTAAATCTCTATTTGCAAAAGCGAACCGATATACAATCATGTTCACAAATCCCACAAACTATATGCACACTTTTCTTCGTCTATACAAAGAAAAGTCGCTTGCCCAAATACTCATGAAGTCGCGGCGCCGCAGGCACTGGCGCGTCACTTGAACCCATCGAATATGTATCTGAACCGTCCTCTCCGAGGTATGCCCTTCCTCGGAATGCCAGTAGATGCGCATAGTATGCACTGCTCACCATCGACACCGACCGATTGCACCGGACAAACCCATGAGTAAGTCTGAAGATAAAGCCTTGAAGAGCATCTACGTTCATGTTGTTCTCATCTAGAAGAACAGTGTATTTGGACGGTTTGTTGGTCCCCTGAATACCGGCATGAGAGTTTAGATAAAAATCGTAGTAGCGCCCACTCACAATGTCCGTGTCCACCACGCTTCCCGGAACCATGTTCCCACTTCTGTCTTGGCCTTTGGAAGACTGGGGGAAGAAACGAACATGATGCCTCTTCGTTACAATGATATACGTGATGCGAGGTCTCCATCCTTTTTCAATCTTCTCGCAAGCCTTTCGCAAGGCCGTAATTTCAACTTGCATTACTTCATCAAACTGTCCTTCCGACACCCCATCACGGAACATGATGACCGAATATGCCTGATGCCTTTCCTTGAAGTTTTGTCTCCATCGCCCATACACCTCTCTAAACATATCCCCAAGCTCGGAGATCACTTCCTTGCGACCTGTCTGGTTTCGAATTGCACCAGAGAATTGCACCAGTTGTTTGTCGCGACTTCCAACAAGCGCTGCCACACTAGGACTGTTCCCACCCGCCATTGGATGCGTCACATCAGCCCCAAGGACGATGTATGGCCTCTCTTCAAAGTTGAGGTCCGGCATAGCTTTGGAGGTCTCTCTCCAAGTCCCGACAAACGAGTTTTGACCACCAATCTTCGAGTTGATTTTCAACATGACATTGTCGCAGTACATATCCCGCCCTCTTCCGCCCGGTCCACAATGTTTTTCCAGTAACACTTGAGTCGGAATGCCCAGCTCCAGATCACCAACTCGCTTAATCAAATTGTATGTTGGAGCGTCAGGGCGATCCTTTATCACCACTATCAGCTGCAGCGGAATTCGATTCACCTGCATCTTCGGGTCGTTGTTGATCTTACGTTTTAAGTCTCTCATCCTGTCGGCAACATTTCGGTAGTCGGCATCCACAACGATAGGCCTTGAGTTCGGAATTTCAACCCCCTTTCCTCTTCCAACTCGTATCAAATCGGACAGAAACTTTGAGATATCGTTTTTCCGTAACCGAGACATGCTGATCACAGCCCACGTGTAGAGATTGACAGGAGCTGCGTACTTCTCGCTGCGCGTTCTCCATTGACCACCCTGTGGTCTAATTGATTTGCCGTGCTTGTAGAAAATAGATGGCGTGGGTAAAACACGAGCATTGACGGACATCATTGAGTTTGATACCTGAAGACCAAACTCTTTGCAGTAGCGATCGCTAGAATGGTTCAATTTGCTAATAGTCCTGAGAGCCGCTTCGCGACGGGGTTGTGGCCTAGTGCTTGCAATCTTGACAATGCTCATGGTCTGGTCCGGGCTGAGTGTTCCTGTGAGTCGCTGATTATCTACAACGGTAAGAATCTCCATGGGTAGATAGGTATCCCTCTTAGGGTTGGTCTTCACGCATGGGTGATGAGGATGACGAAGCCGAATGTTGTATGTGTTGTGAAAGTAGTCAGCTATGGAGATTTTCCGTCCATCAGAGTCAAACACGATACGGTCCGCGCCCTTGTTGGAGAATCCATGCACCCGATACGTAATACCAGAATGGTCGGCCCGAACCTTCAGAAGCTTGAGCTTTGACGAGACGTCTCTGAGTGCGCGATTGTCGCTTGCGTTCAAATCCCTTCCATCATTGGCATCACGAACCAAGTCGATAAGATGACGTCCACCCTTCCTCCAGAACGCGGTGTACGACTCATCCAAGTTGATAAGTGGGCCTTTAGCGCTAAACCGAGCACTCTGATAAAATCCTCTCCAAGCACTGGCGGTGATGTTTCTCCGCCCAAGGTCCTGTGCACGCTCCCCTGAATAAAATGAGCGGCCAACCTGGACATAATGCTTGGTAGGAGTTGCTGCCAGAACAACATCGAGCGCGGACAGATATTCCGAGTACACAGAGGCTGTAGACGTGCTGTGGAGGATCTCCTCAAACTTCAGATTCTTCGCATGGTTGATCTCCACGTCGACATCTTCAACAAATCCACCGCGTCGGTCTCTGTCGGAAGCAGGATGGCCATCCCGGTTGACAGAGACACGAAGTTTTGTACCTGTATACTTGCGGTTCATCTCCTTTGCCGCATAAGCGATGGATCTTCCATCGTAGGCCAGCGACACACCCATTTCCCTTCCATACTTCGAAATGACGCAGTCAAACACGGCCCGGTTCCAGATGATAGCATCTGTGGGTGCGACATCCATCCATACCTTCGAAGCATCGGAAGACGCGGAGCCTCTGCCGCCGCGTGTCTTGCTCCTGCCTTTTTTGTCCATGGGGTGTTTGCGCTTGTATATTTTGACGTTATACTGCGCAACGACCAAGCCGCGCTTAATGTTGAGGCGGAAGACATTGACTTCTGTCTTATATGGTGCGCCAATAGTGCCCACGCCAGGACGGTGGATGGGACGAATGCGTCGATCCGAAGACATGGTCGGGGAAGTGGAGCGAATATTTTCACGATTGGTGGGGCGCTTGTCCGAGCGCGAAGAAGAACGCGTGTCCTGGCCTGAAGGAGGCATGGCGGTGAGAGTGTAGACGGTTCGTTTATATACGGACGACGAGAAACGAAGAGAGTTGGTACAGTGAGAACCTAGACGTTGGCGAAACCAGGGGTTAACTTGGGCGACAGGGGGAGAGAGGGAGATAGTGGTCGTTCGAGGTTGTTGAGGTGAACAGAAACTGTCTCTGTGAGGATGGTGAAGGACGAGTGTACGAGTTTAGCTTGGTTTTAAGTAGGACAACCCTACTGTATATACTGTAGTGAATGAAAAGTACCATGTCGTTTCATGGGCAGTAAAGGGTAAGATGTGTATCCAAAGGACATAAGAGACGAAACGAGAGGAAGGGGTTTCTGTCTTGTTGAAATAAAATCTATCAAACACGTTGTGCGTTCTCGATATTATCTTTCCACGGCTCCTAAGAGGCGAAACGGGAGGAAGGGGGTTCAGTGTTGTTGAAAAAAAACCTATCAAACATGTTGTGCGTAGCTTTCTACGGCTCCTTGAAAAGTCACTCTACTCCTGACCGCATATGGGCGACCGCATATGGGGTTGAATCTCGCGAGCTTTATTCCGGATATAGCCGCACGACAGAGGACATACAAGCTATTCTACGTCGCAGGTATGTATGGACTTGCGGCGAGCGGGGGGTGATAATCTGCTGATTCAATCGGCGGCAAGCTCCTCTATCAAATTGCAGGGACATGTCCCCAACAAACCGCCCGCACAACGGGCTCGTAACGCAATGACCTTTAAAGCTGCGTTCCACCCGTTGTGCGCCTCTGCTTTGCTCAGATTATTGCCTCAGATGTAGGATGGAGCTGCAAAGGAATACGAGATGCAAATGCGCCAGCCCAACGGCTCTGGAAACGGTTTCCAGCAGGGGAACACGTGTACAAAAAGGGCGCGACAGCTCACTATCGCATCATCTCGAGACTGCGACTGTGAACAACCGCCACCTCATGTTTGAATTGCCGACACCTCCCCTATCAGCTGCAATGCATCTCCCCCCCCGCCTCCCCTCATACGGAACTCCCCCATGAGCCAACTAGCCCCTCTCAAAGTCGCCCTCCTCGGCGCCGGTACCTTCGCCTCCACGACCCACCTCCACATCCTCCTTCCTCTCATTGCTGCCAACCACGTCACCATCACCCTGGTATGGTCTCGTCACTCCGGCCCAGCACACTCCCTCTCCGCCCACTATCCAAACAATCCCCCCGTCTACTATCAGCTACCATCGCACCCCACGCCCTACGCCTCTGTCGAAGACGCCCTCCGCGCCCACCGTGAGAGCGATGCCGTCATCGTCGCTCTACCTCCCGGTCCGCAGAACGAATTTGCTAAACTTGCCAGATTGCTCCATTTCCACGTCATGTTAGAAAAACCCCTCGCCCTGGACTTGCCCTCCGCCCGCGATCTCCTTAGAACGAGCTCTGCATTCGAAAAGGGCAAAGTACTCGCGCTCGCAGAGAACTTTCGCTTCGAGCCGGCACTGCTACGTGCGGCAGCGCTCGTGCGACAGGCCTGCGGGGGGGTAGTAACGGCTCGGCTTAACGTTAAATCCCCGATGCCCGAAGGCAGCCGCTACGGAAGGGGCTGGCGCCTCGAGTTGGACGGCCCGGGCATTTTGCTGGACGGATGCGTACATCACTTTGCAGCCCTGAGGCTTGTGATGGACGCCGATATCTGCCGCATTGCCGCGAAATGCCATCGGAGGGCTGCGTGGTTCAAAGGTGCTGATACTGTGGCGGGGTATGCCATCATGACAAGTGGAGTCCAGGTGTCGGTTTTTGTCACGTATGCGTCGAGTGTGCCCTTATGGGAACTTGAGGTTGTTGGCGAGAAGGCCGATGTCATGGTGCGCAGGGACCGGAATAGGGCCGGCTATTCTGTGAGTGTAGTGAGCTGTGGACGAGAGAATGGTCAGCGGGTTGAGGAAACAGAGCATGTGCCTTTTGGAGGACTTGAAGCCGAGTTTGAAGCCTTTGTTGAGTCATGCCGGAGCGCAAAGGTGCACCCTCGGCTTGATGCCATGCATGGCTTCAACGATATGGCCGCCGTGTTTGCACTGTTCCAGTCATCAGAGGAAGGTAGAGAGGTTACAGTCGAGGAGACTGGTGATTTATTGCCTCATGAAGCGCCCTAGAGCGAGTTAAATGTTGCCATTCTGTTATGTTCCTGTCGCACATACAACAGGCGGACCAGTTCTACACTATCTACTTGCTTGTATTACTGCACTGCAACTAAGACTTTTTGGTCAGCGGCCGGAGTCGCACTTTTCACTAGCGTTGGTGGTGAGATTTTGAGCAACTTGCAGAGCAAATTGCGTCGTTTCCGGGCGTCCACAGTACTGAGGTAAACCCACTCTGTCCCCACAAGCACGTCTAAAGCTTGTAACACCGAAGGGCATTCAGTCTGCACGTACGACTTTTCTGCCTCATCCAATTCACCTATATCGTCCACAGCGTATTGGATCAGGGTCACATAAATACAATCAGCTGTGATTCGTCTAAGCCGAGGGATGGATCCCCCAAGAACGACCATCAAGGCTTCGAGGCACACACGCCCCACAGAAAGCTCTCGAAAATCAAAGCAGTCTCCGATTAAAGAGGTCCCTGCCATTTCGCTGAGCAACTGCACAGCAGCTACAGTTCTCTTGATCATGCCGAGCTTTTTGCGCCATGACGCTCTGGTTGCTTGTGCCAGACGAATGAATTCGGATGCATTGATATCCGAGAGTACTTGCTTGGCAAATAAAACGGAGAGGACAGAGAAAGCTGGCATTATTAACCGCTCGTCCCCGCTTTCTATAATCTGCAATATCATGCGAAATTGGTCTCGTTTCCTTTCGAGATCACGTTCATCTTCAAAGTATCTCACAAGTGCGTTTACGGCGGCTTTCGCCTGGCTTCCCGTACCACCGCCGGACGACACTAGGCCAAGGATCAACACATCTGATACCGCTGATATATTAAGTGCGTAGCGCACTGCGGAGAATACACTTTCTGCATCTCCAAACACGATCACTCGCCCGACCGCATCCGCATCATCCTCAATCAAAAATGTGCCAAAGCAGTCGATGACTTCTTCACATATTGAGGCTGTTTTGGTGGCGCCTTTGTGTCTGTACAGGGCCGTGCAATATTCTTTCAGGCACGATCCCGCGACTTCTCGTGTTCTGTCTATCCGGCAGCAACATTGCTCCATGATCCCTCGGAACGAGCGCGTAAGGGCCTCATCAATTTCTCTTTGCGCTTGAAAGTCGGAAAACGTGGCCATTTCGCCTAAAAAGGAATTCGTAATGTAGCTCGCCGATCGCATGGCTGCCTCGCGCACCAAGGATCCGATATCCCCCCGCTCATCTCTCGTGAAATCTCTCATTCCGTTGGTAAGCGCATCCAATACCTCAACAAATCTAGCACGGACAATTCGGCCGGGGATTTTTGAGAGCGAAAGAGCCAGGTTTCGCCTTGTCTCAACGTCGGTGTTTGCCGATACTTCATGACACAGAACATTGACAACCTCATTGGTGACTTTGGATTCGCCACAAACCCCAGCTGCCAGAGCAAATCCTCTCTTCTGAATGGGGGATTTATCCTTCGATAGACCGTGCAGTATTCTTCTCGTAATCTTGATGTGCCAGTCGGAGTCATTGGCAATGACATCGTTGCAAATCGCTTCGTACGCCGACGTCGCTTTTCGATACATGTTTTCTTTCCCGGACCCGTAGATTCTTTCAAGAAAGCCTAGCGCGTGTTCTGCATCTTTTCGCCCAGCCTGTGAGTGTGCATACAAATCGCCTGCACCTCTTGCAAGGCATTCGATCAAATGGCAACAGGCAAGCCGCATCCGATCCCCTGTTCGGCCATTGAACGCTTTGGTCCCCTCAAGCATGTGCTGCAATAGGGAAAACATACAAAGAAACAATCGTTAATGACTTCAAAAAAAGCTGCAAGCGCCTTCTTGTCAGGTACAAGGAAACTTACCAGTACATTGCGGACTTCAGCCCCAGCTTGGTCGAGATTCTCAGCACCAACAACCCTCACAACTTCTGCCAGGCCGAGCACAGCGCCATGGCGAATGACCATATCCCCCCTGTGCCGAGCGACAAATACAACGGCGAGATGACAACAAACCCAAGTCGGGGAATCGCATGAAGAAGGGCAAGAGTCAGAATCAAAGTCAGGGGTGCCCGCTTGCTCGCAAGGATATGAGAGCCGCGGACGAAAGGAATAGCCGCGCGTCTAAAACTGCAGCGATTGCCATACCTTTCTTTCGCCATTTGCAACAGTTTGGGTACGACACGTTGGACAATGACATTGCCATTGTCCACTGCGAGCAAGGCCGCAAGCCCTTGAGACGCGAGCGCGCGCACTGCGGGGTCCCAGTGCACAAGTTTCTTGTGCGTGAGGTGATACAAAATGCAGTCAAAATGTTCGCCCCCAGCCAGACTGGCGACCTGGGGTGCGATGCGCAGGTAGGCGGCAACGCGATCCCCCAGCGAAAAGTAGTCTGCCAGCGTGATGAGGCTAATGCCATCCTCGAACAGGCGCTCGGACAAGCGCCCGACACACTCCTGCAGCGCAGCGGCTGCGGCGCGCCTGCAATTCACCTCGCGGTCGAGCAGCGCGAGCGGGAGCATGCAGTTTGTGATCTGCTTTGCATACGGGGCCAGGTCTTCCCTCGAGTACGCCCTGGCCATCGCCCACACGCCGTAGCACGCGGCGTCTCTGACGTGTGCGCCGGTGGAATTCGCGCCGCGGCGCATGTCGAAGGCGGCGGCCTTCCCAATGACGTCGAACGTCTGGGCGAACTGGGGCTCGCGAGGTAGCAGGAGCCCCCGGCGCGCAAGCTCCGCGAGGGCCAGACAGCCGCCGTGCCAGCTTGCGTCCGCGCGCGCCTCGCCGACGTGGCTGTACAAGTCCAGCACGGAGTTGACGACGTCCTGCGCGTACACCAGCGGCAAGCGCGAGGTGACACGCCCAACGCCCTTCGCCGCCGACCATCTCACAACCGTGTCCGGGTGCGCCAAACCGCTCAACAGGATCTCCACGACGGTCTCCAGTGTCTCCGCGGCCTCCTCCTCTATCTCGTCGTCCTCCTCTGCCTCCCCGTCCTCCACCACGCCGACATGGCCGGCAACCACCCCCTCTCCCGCGCGGCGCGGCACGCCGTCCCGCTTCTCAAACACGACCCTCCTCCCGCGGTCGTACCTCCACGGGGCGAGGCGCGGCGGCAGGACGGCGAGCGCCAGCCTCCCGCCAAGCTTGGTGAAGAGGTGGGCCTCTGTAGTGTTTGTCTTGTGCGGGCGCAGCAGCGGGGCGAGGGCGTCCCGCACGGGCGCGACGTGAAGGCGCAAGTCGTCGCGGTGGGCAAACTTGAAGATGGCGGCCAGCAGGGTGAGGGCGGGGATGCGCATGGCGGGGGAGTCCGCGGGCTCGAGGGCGGTGCGCACGGCGGCTGCGAGGAGGTCTGCGCGCTCGGCAGCGGCGTCGCGGCGTGCGGCGAGGCGGGCGAGAAAGGCGGCGGCGACGGCTGCGACTGGGCCGGAGCGGTGGAGGGCGTCGCGTGCGGGGTCGAGCAGGCCGGCGAGGGCGGCGGGTTGCAGGATGGTGCGCAGCGGGAACGGGAGCTGGATGGCGACGGCGGCCCAGGCCAGCAGGACGTAGTGGACGGTCCAGTAGTGGTCGGGCGGGAAGGCGGCGGCGGCGCGGGCGACGTGGCGCGAGAGGGCGTGTAGGTGGGAGACGCGGTGCGGGAAGTGGCGCGAGAAGGGCTTGAGGCGGCGGACCTTGGACAGGGTGTACAGGGCGTCGGCCGGCAGGCGGGCCAGCAGCAGCTCACGGGCGGTGGGGGCGGCGGGGGCGGCGGGGAGCGAGGTGAGACGCGCGGAGAGCAGGGTGAAGAGCGGGGGGAGGAGCGAGGGCAGGAGCGGGTCCAGCAGCGTGGGTAGCTGCAGGTACTCGTCGGCGGCCGCGCAGAAGGCGCGACAGGCAGGACGGGCCGTGCGCAGGTCGTCGGATTGAAGCAGGGCTAGCTGGGCTTCGAGCGTGGCCGCGTGCGGGAGCACGGCGTCGCAGTGGGTGACCGCCGGATCGGACATGGCGGGGGCGGGTGTTTGGGGGGCGAGCAGATGGGGGGATGAAGAGGGGAAGGGACGAAGAGGGGAGGGGACGAAGAGGGTGCGGAAGAGAGGGGGGAGCGACAGTGGAGGACGGGGATGGGGAATGGGATTGGGAGAGGGAAAGAGGGAGGGGAAAAAAGGCGTTTGGCGGGAAGGATCAAACACTGTTTGAAACGTGTACACGTGGTATATGCACTGCTGGAGTATTTGGATGCGACACGTGTACACGGAGGCGGAAAATGTGACGCTCAGGAGTCCAGAGCGGAGCGTGATGACATGCGCGGCCTGCGCGGCCCACCTTGTCCTGACTTAGGAGCCGCGCATGTCATCACGCTCAGCTCTGTTGATGTCGAGGGGCGCGCCTTGCCTCACGACTTGTCAGTGAACGTTTCGTTTACCGCAAGTTGCTGTTAACCTCATGCATGCAGAATCTATAGAGCAGCAGCAGGCTGTCGTAAAGATGCGCGCATTCGGGCATGCGGGCACGCGTCGCTGTGCGACTGCCGTTTGAGCATGCGTGGCCCGTGAGCGGCGAGCATACGGCACGCAGGGGACGTCCGCGGGAGGGGTGGATGCATGCCGGGTACGGGCTTGTGGGGCGGAGCGCTCTATGGGCGAGGGAGTCGCTACCCGCCCTCACGTTTGTTCATGTTGAGGGTGGGCGGGTTGCGACAAGGAAACAATGGCCTTGTCACGCCCAGCAAAAAGGGCATCGTCCGTCCACGTCAGAGCGCCCGTTGGAAAACCTTGATAAATTTCGAAGCATACTGTACGCACCCCGGAGGTCAAATCGATCCCTTCCACACCACCCGCCAATTCCCCGACCCGTACCTAAAGGCCCCCCCCTCCCCCGCCACCCCCGCGTCCGCCTTCGCCACCCTCCCCTCTCCGCCATGCCCGAGCCCGTCAAGCGCAACGTCGCCGTCCTAGGCGGCGGCCCTGCGGGCCTATCCGCTGCCTTCCGCCTCCTGCACGACCTCCCGCCGGGCCTGTCGGTCAAGGTCGACCTGTACGAGGCCACAGGCCGGCTGGGCGGCGCCGTCACCTCGGCGTGCGACGCCGGCTTCTGCTACGAGCTCGGGCCCAACTCGATGAACGCCAAGCACCCCAGCGTCGCCGATCTCATCCAAGAGAAGCTGCGCCTCAAGCCGCGCATGCTGCCGCGCTCGCCGTACGCGAAGCGCTACTACTTCATGCGCGACGGCAAGCTCGTCCCGCTGCCGCTGTCTCCGCTCCACTTCGCCACCACTGGCCTGCTCTCGTGGCGCGCCAAGTGGCACGTCGTTAAGGAGCCGTTTGTGGCCAGGCTGCAGGACGTCAGAGACTCGCACATGGAGTCCGTCGCCTCCTTCTTTCAGAGACGGTTCGGGCGCGAGGTTGTCGACTACCTTGTCGACCCGATGGTCGCGGGCACTTATTCGGGCAAGCCGGCAGATTTGTCCATGAAGCATGCCTTGCGAAAGGTGTGGCGCTTGGAGCAGAAGCACGGGTCTGTCATTGGCGCCTTGCTGCGCGGAGCCGGCAAAACGAAGCCGGATCCAAGGTACAAGCCGTACACAGGGAAGGAACTGCGTGCTAGTTTTACATATGATAAGGGGATGGAGGTCGTTACCGATGCCCTCGTCGCAAACATCAATGACCTCAATCCTAGAGGGGGGAGGTTGTATACGCACGGCAAGGTCCGCACGCTCGATAGAGACCCGAATGGTGCCTGGCGAATTAACGGACGGGGCAAGTACGACGCTGTCATATCCACCATTCCCACGCATGCCGTCAAATCTATTTACACTAATATGTCAGCTTTGGGGAAAGGGTTCAAGAAGCTGAACAAGAGTATCAAGTACGCACCCGTCTCTGTTGTAGTCATGGGCTTTGACAAGTCCCAGGTCCCGCATCCGCTCGATGGCTTCGGTGCTCTTATACCCACGGTAGAAGGTCGCCAGATTCTGGGAATCAACTTTTCCTCGTCCAACTATCCCCAACGACTAAGCGACCCGGACAAGGTCTTTTTGACAGTGTACGTCGGGGGGCAACGTAACCCTGACCTCCCGTTCCGGCGCGCGAAAGAGATTGTTGATATCTCGAAGAAGGAATTGGGTCATGTCCTCGGCGTCAAGGGGGATCCTTTTTTCTCTCGCGTCAAGACATGGAAGCGGGGCATCCCCCAGTACGATCCACAATTTGATGAATCGCTTTGCACTATGGCCCGAGCTGAAAAATCAGCCAAAGGCTTCGTCTTTGGAGGCAATTATCGTGATGGCGTAGGTCTCCCCGATGCGCTCCGGTCTGGGATTTTGTCGGCAGAAAAAACACTCCAATACCTCAAAACCTTGTAGTCACTTCAGAAAGGAACCATGTAGGACAGACATGTACAAGGCAAGTATGCCGGTTTAGAAGTTGACGTCCCTCGCGCAGAATATTCGCTCATCATGGGCTTCGGAAGACAAAATGTGGGCGGTCTCCTACGGGCAGTTCTTCCCAATGGCATGAGGCATCTACCACATCCCCTTTGATCAAATTGTCGTTGTCAAGCTGCTCGTTTTCCGAGAGAATCCGAGCGACAGAACGCATATCCCCCCGCGTGTATGTCGTCGCCATTTCGTCAACGGCTCGAGCCTATAAATGTTACCCTCCCTCGAGTCTCGACGGCATCAGCCCCGTGTAGCAACTTCCCATCTCGAGCAATCCCTCATAGCCAAAATACGTCAAACCCCCGCTATTCCTCGCCGATCACTGAGCGTCGCTTTGCCATATCGAAGAAATCGTGAAAAGTACGCACCATCTCTGCTACGGCCAGAGTGTTCACATTTCCTTCCCGTCTCTCGTCCAGCGCAAGTGAAGCAATTCCAAGCTGTGTGTCGGCAAACGCCGAGAACTTGCACTAAGCCGTGAGGCCACCTTCTTTCTTCCACAGTATACGCTCTATGCGAACATAGTTATGCAACAGAAACGTAGGGGCGACATTGCCGTCTAAGGCAATGCGCAAAGTCTGCCATCAATGCCAGCCGAAGATGATCATGAGGAGCTCTTGGAGGCCTCCAATATGGCCTTTTCGATATCCATGGTAGGGAACTCGGCCTTCTCTTTGAGCTGCTCCTGTGCCCAAAGAAGCATTTTCAAGAGGGCGGGCAGCTTTGGGTCTTTTTCCTGGCACTGGCTTGTCAAAATGGCGGCATTCAACTCCCCGGCGGTCTTCTGCCTCTGCGCCGGGCCGAGCAAGTCGGCGACGGGACACTTGGACTTGTCGTCGAACGCGAGCAGGGCCATGGTGCGTTCCAGCTCGGTGAGAAACTGTGGGTTTTCCTCGCCGCGCGGGGCAAGCTCCTTCTCCGCAAACTCCAGGGCGGCGGGGACGTCGCCCGCGCGGATGAGCTCGATGAGCTTCTGCTGCTGCAAGTGGAAGAAGAGCTGCGGGTTCTCGTCCAGGATTAGCGGGTTGAGGTCGTTGGCGCGCTCGATGGCGGCCTGCACGTCGCCGCGCTGGATGGCCACGCGCGTGGCCATGCGGTCCGAAATGCTCGGTAAGTCTATCCCCGGCGGCGTGCCGCACTCTTGCTCGAACTTCTCCGCCGCCTCCTTGTAGCCTTCGATCACGAGGTAGTTCATGATGAGCTTGTTCATTTCCCTGCGGATGTGGTGCGTAAGGAAAAAGGTGGAAATAAAACGAGGCAAGACAATTAGAAACGTTGGTCTTGCGTGATTCGTAATCGGCAAGCGGAATAAGTGTTGAAGGCCAGAGATATGGACGGGCGTACCTCTTGTTGACGGGCGCCTCGGCGAGCTCGGCCTCCCACTCCGCCTTGTCGAAGATAATCTTTTTCTTCTCCTCGGGCTCCGGGGCCGTGGAGCGGTGCTGCGCCCTAGTTGTAAGCGGGATAGGTTGCTTTTGGGGGGGGGGTTTGCAACGCACGTCACCGAAACAGTACGAAAAGAAGTAGAAGGCAAGTTAGGTCATTGCGCAATCACAGTGACAAGTTCTGTGGCGAAGAGCTAGTTTGGAAGCATACCATTTCGGGAAAGTTGGCGAGGCAACTGCTGATGATGGGAGAGAAGAACACCCGCGCTGATGCACGGGGGGGGTAGGAGAGTGGTTGGTGAAAGAAGATTGAGGGTGGCGAGCTGGGTGAGGAAGGAGCACGTGCCTTTCGACATGTGAGAAGAGATATTACACGACACAGGTCTTGCTTACTGTACTGCGGGGTGAAAGTAATTGCTTGAATTTGGTATTTTTGGCCCTACGGTACACGTACAGTATCTGGAACCGGGTGCCGCTTGCCGCTTGCCGCTTGCATTACGTTTGGGACTGGGACTTGACATGCAGTTATCGATCCCTTTTTTTATCGATGTCAAAGCCTCCGAGGAGCGCAGACGCGGACCTGTAGTCTGCCATTACTAATCCCAAAGGCATCGAAAAACTGCACGAGCACCAACAAATACACTACCTTCACGCCCTGCAGTCACCGCAGTGCGAACATTCCAGCATCTGCAACCACACAAAACCTCAAACTTTACACAGTGCGTAGCGCTAACGACAAAAAAAAAAAAGCATCTCACGATAGCTTCCCTTGCACGCCCTTAACTCGTTTTGAAATAGAGTACATAGCTCCGTCGAACAGCGACACGACGGTGAAGATGCCGCCAATGATGGCGCACAGCGACGTGACAAACTCGTACCATCGCTTGCCGCCCTGGATGATAACGACGGCGGTGGGGGACAGGTCGAACGAGAACTTGGCCTCCGGGATGCCGGGGTCGGACTTGTACCGATGGTTGGACGTGGCCATCTGGTAGCCGAGCGAGTCCTCGCGGTTGAAGATGCTGGACTTGCCCACGCGGTAGTGCGTGGAGACGACTTTGATGTAATGCTCGTGCGTGGTGTGCTCCTCGGTATTGACGAAGGAGCGGCCGTCCAGCGGGTTGATGTTGCGCTTGACATCGTCAGGGAGGTGGCGGATGACTCTCCGCGGCAGCGGCTTGCCAAAGGAGAAGTGATGCACAACGTGGGACAAGTTCATGGCCTTGGGGTCGAAGTCGTGGCCTTTGGACTTTGCGGTGATGTGGAAGTTGCCTGGAACGCGGTTGACCCAGATGGCGCCCTCAACGAGGCAGCCCTCCTCCTTGTGGAGGCGGGTTTTGGCGTGCGCGTGCTCGTGGGTCATAGACTCCATCCAGGAGATGAGGGTGGAGACGGTGCGCTTGCCAAAGTAGTCCGGGTGCTGCGGGTGGTTGCCCTTGTATACGCGCAGGGTCGGGTAGCCCGAGATCTGCTGGGAGCGGCACAGAAACTCGTTCTTCGTGCAGTCGACCTTGAAGACCTTGACGCGGATGTCCTTGTCGTGCACAGTCTTTGCAAAGGCCTCCCAGGTCGGGGCGAGCTTGACGCAGTGGATGCACCACGGGGCGAAGAAGTCGACAAAGGTCCATGCATTCTCCGCGAGTTTCTGGTCGAAATTGCTCTGCATGATCTCCTCGCTCTCGCTGAGGCCGATGTGTGCCTTGACCTCGTCCTCAGAGTCGCCGTTCGAGAAAGCATTGCCGTCCGAATAGGCGCCGAGAATGTCGCGGCCTCGCGGGCCGGAGACCATGGTCTTGTGGAGGTTCTTGGTCAAGTCGAGGCGGGTGTTGCCGAGGTAGTCCCAGACGTCGACGGAGGCGAACTCGCAGGGGAGGCGCAGGGCGGTGACCTTGAAGTTGATCTGCAGCAGGGCCTCGCGGTTGGTGTCGAGCATGACGGCGGTCTCGACCTCGCCGGCGACGTAGGTCCACAGCTCGAACAGGAAGACGAGCAGGATGAGGGCGACGGCCAGCACGGACAGCACGCCGCCCTGGCTCGTGCCGTGCGTGAGGTCGCGCGGCAGCTTGCGGAACACGTCGTACGACGACAGCTTGAGCATGGTGGCAGCCGGGCGCGGCGCGGCGGCGCGGCGGGACGGGCGGCGGGCGGGGGGCGGCGGCGGCGTGCGGGGCGGGGTGGGAATCCCTCACCAAGCAAGTGCTGGCGAAGAGAAGAGACGGGGGGGGGGGGAGTGGGGAGGGGTGCAGGGGCTGAGAGAGAGAGAGAGAGAGGGGGGGAGTTGTTGATTGACTGGAAAATGTGGGCTGGGCGCGGCGCGAGGCCGGTGTCAGCGCGGGGTCAGCGCGGTTTACAGAGGCCGTGTGACGTCATTCCTCCTCGGGCCGCTGCAAAATATGTGCGGATCAGTGGCAGCCGGCGTGGTCTCGCGGCTACCTACCAGGTAGCCTGCGGCGGAAAGGCAACTCACATCGCCGCCGTGACTGAAACATACAACATACAGTAGCGGGTACTGTACGATCTCCTGCGTGTGAAGTCCCGATCTCCCCCGCCTTTTTTACTACAGGGGGTCCCCTCAATAGTTCGCTTTACAATAGTGCACATGGCCAAAAGTGCATCCCTTTCAGCGATGTCACCATTCATACCACGTGTACACCTGTGCACGTGGGCGATGCCGATGTAGATGAGGTAAAAGGGAGTGTGGAATTTGCCACTAAAATGGAGAAATTCGAGGGAAAACTGCCGACGACCGGCAGTTCTTTACTGTACGAGAGTCGGTGAACGACTCGATACGTACGGTGTGTGTCTTCCCTCTACCATCCCCCGACGCCCGTTACTCAGAATCATCGGGGGGACTTATATACTCACTCCAGAGTGTGGGAATTGTCCCAGGAAAAGTTTGAAGGAAATAGTTTAAACAGTTTATTAATGTCTAGAAGAACCTACGACCGGCTCTTCAAACCCAACCGAACCTCCGGGCAATCGGAGCGCTGTTCGTGAAAGATTCTGCGTAGACACGTCTGTTCAAATCTGCCTCCGGGCAGACCCACGCGCTAGTCGCATGGGATTGTCCGTTATATACTAATTTACTGTAACCCTAAACACGGCAAGTTCTTTCCTCACCCCGTGACCCATTCACGTGGTGAGGTATATCGCCATATGACAGACATTATGATAGAAACTTTCACACTGCCATTTTTCCAGAAGTAGAACTTGCCGGAGTCCTGACAATCCATTTTCGGACAGTATTGTGGTCGTAACCCGTATCTAGGAGCTTTTCCAAGGCTTTGTTGGGATGTTCTTTTGTCAAACCATCGGCTACGTTGTTTTCGGAGGAGACAAGCCCGACATGAGATATTTCTTCTCGGTTATAGCATTGTCTCGAGGATGCTATGTCAATCATCAGCCTTTTTTCTGTCGTTGAAGAACCCTTGGTGATGACGTCGAACATTTGTAGCGAATCCGTGAACATATGAAGTGGGATTCTCTTCTTGAATATCATTTGAAGGTCATGTCGTAATATGTACGCTCTGTCGAATCCGTCGGCGAAAGCGTACACCTCTCCACCAAGAATGGATCTGACTACTCGCTTAGACTTTCTGCTTGAGTAATCCAGAACATGTGACCGGTTTGTTTTATCGCAAAGGAGAATGATGAACCCAAGCTGTGAGGACAAATCGTCATTTCCGGCGAAGGAAGCGTCTGTGTATACTCTCAGATGTAGCGTGGACTTGTTCAGTGGGGCATATTTAAGGCATCTCTCCGGCATCTTTTGGAGACGTTTGATCGTACTGTTGAAGGCCTTGATCTTTTCCACTCCGAAAGTACTAGGTGTAACCTGTGCAGCTTTGTTGATAGCACATAATGCGTCAGGTCTCGTGTAACCAACCCAAGCCAGTGTGGCGCGGTAGGATCTGAAGCGTTCAAATGATGCATCCAGCGGCAGTGGCTTTAGTCTTCCAATATAGGCCTTCTGTGATATTGTAAAATGGCTGCTTCGCTCTGTTGAGATATTTGTTCCGAAGAAGTCAAATTTGTCCCATTCTCGTGGCCTCGATTCAAATTTGTGGAGAGTTAACTTCGTAAGTTCCTGCATTACCTCATTTCCTGCTAAGCATCCGTCATCGACACACATACCCAAGAGTCCGTCCACATCCTCGTTGTTACGTTTGATGTACAAAGACGGATCCCCTAGCAGAGGCACTAGGCCAAGATCATCTTTGGCGTGATGGTCGACGGTGACCCCCCAGTAGTCGCCCGCGTCCGTCATACCGTAGATTGGCCTGAGAAGTTCTAGAATTTCTTCCTCGGTGATTCCAAAGTGCTCCATGTCCTTCCTTTTGGGGAGTAGAAATACCTTACGGGTGAGTTTCTCCTCACTTTGCAGGTATGCCTGCGTTACATCGTGTGAGAAGATGCGAAATGCTTTGATCGCCGCCACAGAGATTATTATTCTCGTCGAACTTTGTCGCAAGTTCGTAATGTTGTGGACCATGTACGATTTGTCTTTGTCCCGGTGACCCTGTGCTACGTAACGGGCTTTAGAAAGCTCATTATCCGTGCCTGCATTCTTAAGAGCCAGCACAAAACGTCCTCCCAAAATATTTGGGTTAGAAGGAAGAGATTCCTTGGGTACAATCTTCCATGTGTTCCTTTTCTCAAGACCGAGAACTTCTGTTCTCATGGCTTTGGCGAATTCACCAGATTTTGATCTTACATCCCCTTGTTCGATGATTTGGGTCATAAGAATGTGGGAGTTGGTTGTTGTGTCAATCGGTGCAGCGAGTTCCAAAGAAGGGAAGGGACCTCTCAAAGGTCCCGGTTTCCATGAAGGAGTTCCAGGGTTCGCACGGATCCTGCTCAGTATTGATTCTAAATCGTTCAGCACGTCGCCTTGAGGTACTGTTGTAGGTTCCATGTGCAACTCTGTGGGCCCCGGCACAGCTTCATTCCTTGGTTCACGAGTGGATAGAATGGGTACGAAGGATGCGGGAGTGTTGTACACTTTCACTTTGTCGATAGACACTTGCTTGTTAGTGCCGTTCAGATCAATAAAAACACTCTTATCCTTTACCCCCACGACCGTGTACGGACCAACCCACTTGTTCTCAGGCTTCTCCCTGAACACCAGGACGCGGGAGCCGATTGGTATATCCGTAAGAGCAGCAGCCGGGACATTCATGCGCAAAGCCCTGGTGACTCTTTCTTTTGCGATGACTTTGGTCATTTCTTTCCTAGCCAATGCCATAGCCTTCATTCGATCCACCTGAGCCGGAAGGTCGGTAGGGGTCACTGGAATCCGCGGCATGGCCCCGAAAACGAGGAGAGTGGGGACCAGGCCGTGATACCCAGCTGTATCGTTCATGGCCTTGACGGAGAGTGCAAGAATGTGGTCATTCTCGAGTTGCGGGAATTGCTGCCGTGTCTTGCGGTAGATACCTCTCAAAAAGGAGTGATACCGCTCACCAACGCCCAATGCGTTGTGGCTCTGTACACCGGAAGGGTGGTGTGTGATCCCGGCTAGATTGACTAGGTTGAGCCATCTATTGGACGTAAATTGGGGTCCCTGATCGGTTGCCATTATGTCTGGGAACCCAATATATATACAGACCCATATGCGCATGAAAGTGTTCCAAGTGTCATCAGCAGTTTCCTTGGGAAGGAATGAGGCTGCAGAAAACTTTTTGTCTTTGTCTACCACGTGCAGGACTGCGGCATTGTCGAGGTACATGAGGTCCAGGCATACGGTCTTATTGAAAACCACTTCTCCGTCTGGGAGTGCGACCCGGAATCGATGTGGGGCATGTGACAGTCTTTGACAAAGGTCACACGCTGCAGTGATGCGCTTCAGGTCGTTCAGAACCTGAGGGGAGGTTTTCCCGGGGTCCGACCTTTTCATGACAGCGTAGAGCCTTTCAGAATCTGGGTGGTGAAAGTGCTTGTGTACTTTCATCAATTCGGTTTCGGTAAAGAGAATTTGTGGACCCCACTCGTAGTACAAGTGCCCCAGTTTCTTCTTTAGTGGGACAGTCCACCCCTGGAGTCTTGATGAGAGAACACACTTATCTGTGTCAATTACCATTCTATACCGTTCCATGTAATCGAGGCCGAGAAGGAATGGTACGTTGGTATCAACCACATCCACAGAGAGGGGGAGGAAATGGGTTGGGCTGACTGGTACTCGAATGTCCAAAATCCCAAGACCAGGATGTTTATGAGTCCCGAAGCTGAACACGTTCCTTGTCTTGCAGTCAGAGGGTTGGAAAGGGATGTCGAATAAGCTGCAGTACGCTTTTGCTTGTGCAGCTCCTATCACCGACTTCTGAGCGGCAGAATCAATGCAGACGCCCTGGAAGAGGTCCAGCGATGGTATGCTGCAAGTCTTTCTAGTGACGTAGACATGAGTTGTGTGTTCGTCCGGGTATGAGGGGGTCCCCTCATCCTCGGACTCGACTTCCGGTACTGGACTTTCTTGTCCAAGGATACTCTCGAATATGCTTACCTCGTTACGCTCGATTTCTTCGTCAGGATCATCAGTTCGTGTGCAGTCCAGTTGTTGGCATAGATCTGCTAGAACGTGATGCACCGCGATGGTTTTTGTGTTTGCCTTCTTCGAGTAGTAATCCATCTTCCGTGCAGCTGCTCGAGATGTATTCAACGGCAGAGTACAGTCCTTTACAAGATGGTTGCCGCCACAATTGAAGCATCCAGAAACTGAGAGGGGGTCGAACTGTCCCGTCCGGGCAGGCTTTGCTTCTGTCCCTCTGGGGATTGAAGATGGTTTGTATGACTTCCGAGCCTTACCGACATGAGAAGGAGCCGTACCGTGATAGTAACGGCCTTGCCCGGCGTACATGATCCTTGCAGAATCATCTTCAGGGAGTGTTCTTCGCCCTAGTTGAGCACGGTCTCGTAGCATGGCCAGCTTAGATTCTTTGTGCAACTGAAGAGCTGCTTCTAGCTCTGCATAAAGCTGCTGGAATGTCAGTTGGTGTGTTGCGACTCTACTCAATGGTTCGTTTGACCAAGGAGTCCCGACGACAGCGTTCCGCAGGAATTCCACCTTGTGTGCGTCCCCCTGGTGAGATCTCGGGGCCTGCC